ACGGCCATCGAGACGCTCATAAATAACCTCGCGGAAGGAGCGGCTCCATTTGCATCCCGTCCAGGACGATTTAAACCATCCGACCTTTTTTCAGAAGTACCCAGAAGACCACGAACGGCCAAATGCAGAATTCAAATTCAAATCTTTGCACCCGCGCTCGGCGGTTGGCGGGATGACATCACCACCAGGGTGCAAAATGGGCCTGGTGGTGATGTCATCGGTCCCTTGTGGTCGTAGCGTGAGGATGAAACAAATCCAAATTGGCCAATCGGAATTTTTTACGTCTGTAAACTACTTTGGTCAGCAGTCCTGACTGTTTAATGCTACCCCCCCCCCCCCAAGAATAAAATTCCTCCCGTCACCTCTGTGCCGCGCTTTTGTTTGTCAACCTTCCTCCCTCCACGCTGAGACGTTCAGCTGTGTCAACGCAACGCCGCACTGCGGCCTCCCCACCTGCCAACTCCCAGCGGAAAGCCTGTTTTGTCCTAATCGCTCCGGAAACATCAAAAAGTTGGCCGCGACCAGAGCGGGGAAAGGGGTCGCCGAGACACCGCGGGGAATCCCAACCAACATCCAATTAAAACTCCCAGAAAAACAAAAAAAGAGGCGAAAAAGGGAAAAGAAAGAGCCGAGTCCGAGAGGATTACATAACCCGAAAATTCATTAAAAACAGATTTCATTCCCAACTGAGAACTGAAGAGAAACTTAACCCCGGAGGGGGAGGGGGGGGGGGGGAGAGGAAGAACAAAAGATGAGAGGAAAAAAGATGGATGGATGGATGGATGGAAATAAAGAGATAGAAAAAAGAGAGAAAATAGATAGATAGATAGATAGATAGATAAGATAGATAATAATAGAAAATAATAGAAATAGATAAATAGATAGATAGAAAAAGATAATAATAATATAAAATAGATAATAGATAATAGATAGATAGATAGAAAGATAATAAATAAAGATATAGAATAGAAAATAGATAGAAAGATAGATAGATAGATAGATAAAAGAAAATAGATAGATAGATAGATAGATAGATAAGATAGATAGATAGATAGATAATAGGATAGATAGATAGATAGATAATAGATAGATAGATAGATAGATAATAGATAGATAATAGATAGATAATAGATAGATAGATAGAATAGATAATAGATAGATAAATAGAAAATAGATATAATAATAGATAGATAGAATAGATAAAAAAGATAGATAAAATAGATAATAATAGATAGATAGATAGATAATAGATAGATAGATAATAGATAGATAGATAGATAGAAATAAATAGATAAATAATAGATAAATAGATAGATAAAAATAGATAGATAGATAATAGAAATAGATAAATAAAATAGATAGATAGATAGATAAAAATAGATAGATAGATAATAATATAGAAATAGATAGATAAATGAAATAAATAGATAGATAGATAGATAGATAGAAAGATAGATAGATAATAAAAAAATAATAAATAATAGATAGAAATAGATAAAATAGATAGATAGATAGATAAATAATAGATAGATAGATAAAATAGAAAATAGATTAAAATAGATAGATAATAGATAGATAGATAGATATAATAGATAAAATAGATAATAGATAATAAAATAGATAGATAATAGATAGATAATAAAAAAAATAGATAGATAGATAGATAGATAAATAGATAGATAATAATAGATAAATAGATAGATAGATAGATAGATAATAATAATAAAAAGATAGAAAAATAAATAAAGATAGAAAGATAATAGATAAATAAAAAATAAATAATAGATAAAAGAAAGAAGAAAAATAAAAAAATAGAAAAGATAGATAGATAAAAAAGATAATAATAGATAAAAAAAGATAATAAATAGATAGATAAAATAGATAGATAGAAATAAATAGATAGATAGATAGATAGATAAAATAATAGATAGATAAATAGATAATAGATAAAATAGATAGATAATAGATAGATAAATAAAATAGATAGATAGATATATAGATAATGATAATAGATAGATAATAGATAGATAGAAGATATAGATAAAAAAAAAAAATAAGAAAAATAGATAGATAGAATAGAAAAGATAATAATAGATAAATAAAATAAAAAAATAGATAATAAAAATAGATAGATAGATAAAATAGATAATAGATAATAGATAATAGAAAAGATAGATAGATAAGATAGATAATAGAATAGATAATAATAGATAGATAGATAGATAGATAATAGATAAAGATAGAAAAGAATAGATAATAAAATAATAAAATAAAATAAGATAGATAGATAATAGATAGAAAAGATAATAAATAAAAAAGATAATAATAGATAAATAGATAGATAGATAAAAAATAGATAGATAGATAATAGATAGATAGATAGATAATAGATAGAAAAATAAAATAATAATAATAGGATAAAATAGATAGAAATAAATAGATAGATAGATAGAAAGATAGATAGATAGATTAGATAATAATAAATAGATAATAGTAATAGATAGAAGATAGATAGATAGATAATAGATAGATAGATAGATAGATAGATAGATAGATAGATAATAGATAGATAGATAATAGATAATAGATAGATAGATAGATAATAGATAGAAAAGATAGATAATAAAAAAAGATAGATAGATAAAAATAGAAATAGATAGATAGATAGATAATAGATAGATAGATAGATAATAGATAATAGAAAATAGATAGATAGATAGATAGATAGAATAGATAAAAAGATAGATAGATAGATAGATAGATAGATAGATAATAGATAATAGATAATAGATAGATAGATAATAGATAGATAGATAATAGATAGATAGATAAATAAGATAGATATAAAATAGATAATAAAAATAATAGATAATAATAGATAATAGATATAAAATAGATAATAGATAGATAATAGATAATAAAAAAGATAGATAGATAATAGATAATAGATAATAGATAAAAAAAATAGATAAAAAAATAGATAAAATAATAGAAAATAAAAAATAATAGAAGATAATAATATAATAAAATAAGAATAGATAGATAATAGATAATAGATAATAGATAGATAATAGTATAGATAGATAATAGATAGATAATAGATAGATAAATAGATAGATAATAGATAGATAAAATAAATAAATAGAAAAAGATAAATAATAGGATAAATAGATAATAGATAATAATAAATAATAGATAGATAATAGAAAGATAATAGATAAAATAGATAGATAGATAGATAAGAAAAATAAGATAGATAATAGATAGATAATAGATAGATAATAATAGAAAATAATAATAAAAAAGATAATAGACAGATAATAAAAGATAATAGATAGATAATAGATAATAATAGATAGATAGATAGATAGATAGATAGATAGATAAATAATAGATAGATAAATAGATAGATAGATAATAAGATAATAATAGATAATAGATAGATAGATAGATATATAGATAGATAGATAGATAGATAATAGATAGATAGATAGATAGATAGATAGATAGATAAATAGATAGATAGATAGATAATAGATAGATAATAGATAGATACAGTCCTGTGTCCTATGTTCAGTATTGGGTGGATTTCCTATGTTCAGTATTGGTGGATTTCCTATGTTCAGTATTGGGTGGATTTGGGGATCTCTGTACCCCGGTGTCATTGGTCGGGAATTGCTCGGTGGGATTCTATAATGGGCAGAGATGTCACAATGGGTTCCTCTCCGGGGAGACGTGTCATCATCTAATTATCAGCTCCCACCAATCAGCATCATCCTCTCATCTGTGGATTGATGTACAATGGTGATAATTGATTGGAGGTTGGTCGTGGTGGGAGAGTGCGGCACAGCCGGGGGGTGTAATGTGTGGCAGCAGGTGGCGTTCTGCACCCAATCCCGCCGCCGTCACCTCCCATCTATTGGAGTTCTGCATCTCCTGGGCTCCTGACAAGACATAATGGAAGGTGAATGAAGCTGGCAGCTCGGCGATGAGGGTCTTCCCTCCACCACCTGACTCCCCTCTGTATGGTGTCACTAATTTGGAAATGGAAAAACTCAGCTCTTCACACAACTTTCTCCTGACTGGCTGCACACTGGGCCTCTTTACCTCAACAGGTCTGAAATCTATCACAACAACTTGCCTCAGAAGCTGACAATCTAATTTGCACAAGCTACGAAAAGGGACCCTTGACTTGCCTCTCTGACACCCACTGAGCACCCCACAAGTGTATGGACAGAAGCAACACATCACTACCGTTGTCGCCAGAAGAGGCAGTGAGGGGAAATGTTCCAGTGGGGGCACCTGTCCCAAGGACAACTGTCTCGAAAAGCCCCGCCCCCTCCCTTTGGAGAATTTCCTCTCATTTCCTGCTGTGTCACTGGGACAGGAAGTGAAGGCCAATCCCCCTGATGGGATACAGGCCAAAGAAAAATACTGAGAGAGGTTCAGCTTCTAACTGCGCTCTCCTCCAGGGGTCTCCCAACATTGCTCAGGGACCCATCAGAGTCCCCCTTAGATCAGGGACCCATCAGAGTCCAGCTTAGATCAGGGACCCACCAGAGTCCCCCTTAGATCAGGGACCCATCAGAGTCCCCCTTAGATCAGGGACCCATCAGAGTCCCCCTTAGATCAGGGACCCATCAGAGTCCCCACTTAAATCAGACTTCTCTCTCACCTCAGTGTCCCTATCAGAGTACAACTAACATCAGAAATGGAGGTCATAGGCCTCCTCTGATGACCTTTATTCTCAATCAGTGAGGATACTCCGCTGACCCTCATTGGGGACCAGATAAAATCTTGTGGCTGGATGTGGCCTGCGAGCCGTAGACTGGAAGTCGCAGCTCTGAACTAACTGAGTTACAAATAATGAAGGATACAGATCAAATCCTCCCTCCGGAATGCCTTTTAGTCTTGTAGAGGTGTACCGGCTCCTCCCCCTTCAGTCTTGCACAGGTGCACAAGCTCCTCCCCTTCAGACTTGCACAGGTGTACCAGGCTCCTCCCCTCCAGTCTTGCACAGGTGTACAGGCTCCTCCCCTTCAGTCTTGTACAGGTGCACAGCTCCTCCCCTTCAGTCTTGCACAGGTGTACAGGCTACTCCCCTTCAGTCTTGCACAGGTTACCGGCTCCTCCTCTTCAGTCTTGCACAGGTGTACCGGCTCCTCCCCTCCAGTCTTGCACAGGTGTATCGGCTCCTCCCCTCCAGTCTTGCACAGGTGTACTGGCTCCTCCCCTTCAGTCTTGCAAAGGTGTACCGGCTCCTCCCCTCCAGTCTTTACAGGGTGTACCGGGTCCTCCCCTTATGTCTTGCACAGGTGCACCAGCTCCTCCCCTCCAGTCCTGCACAGGTGTACCGGATCCTCCTCTCCAGTCTTGCACAGGTGTATCGTGGCTCCTCCCCTTCAGCTTGCACAGGTGTACTGGCTCCTCCCTTTCAGGCTTGCACAGGTGTACCGGCTCCTCCCCTTCAGGCTTGCACAGGTGTACCGGCTCCTCCCCTCCAGCCTTGCACAGGTGTAACGAGTCCTCCCCTTCAGTCTTGCACAGGTGTACCGGCTCCTCCCCTCCAGCCTTGCACAGGTGTACTGGCTCCTCCCCTCCAGCCTTGCACAGGTTTGTAACGAGTCCTCCCCTTCAGTCTTGCACAGGTGTACCGGCTCCTCCCCTTCAGGCTTGCACAGGTGTACCGGCTCCTCCCCTTCAGGCTTGAACTGGTGTACGGCTCCTCCCCTTCAGGCTTGCACAGGTGTACCGAGCTCCTCCCCTTCAGGCTTGCACAGGTGTACTGGCTCCTCCCCTTGAATCAGGGAAGGCAAAATATAAGCAGATTTACGTTCAGCAGGTGCAGCATTATTCTTCATATGGTTCCGGAAGTTCCTTCCCGCCATCCCAGACTTGTTCCCACGTGTTGTATGTATAGCGAGTATATATACATGTCCTATACATATGTGTGATCTCTGTAGTCGGAGTTACCCTCTATGGGTGTTGGCCCCGTGTCTCCGGTACGCCCCGCTGTGCCCCCTCACATGAATCATGGGTTATATGTGTTACATGAGGAACTGTCAGGAACTGAAACTCCAGCTGAGTTATCACCTCCCCCATCCTGCCCCGGGGCACCTTCAGCTGGTAGGCTCTGGGATGATGGGACCTTTGGCTTGTGGTGGGCCAGCTGCCCGGGGACACAGGAACCTTCTTGTTGCTATTCTGATAATGTCAGAGGTCAGCGCAGGGCAGAGTTACACTGAGATCCCTCTACACTGCCTGCACTCCGGGCACGCTCATAGGACGGGGGCACCTGCCGGGATCAGCATGTTACCTCCTGTGTGCGTCCACTGCCCTCCGCCACATCCTGAAGAAGAAGAAACACAATAAAAACAGATCACATGATGCAATGGGAGAGTTCCATGCATGTGACGCAATGGGGGAGATTTACCAAAACTGGAGCACTCAGAATCTGGTGCAGCTGTGCATGGGAGCCAATCAGCTTCTAGCATCAGATTCTTCAATGAAGCTTTGACAATAAAACCTGGAAGCTGATTGGTTGCTGTGCAGAGCTGCACCAGATGTTGCCCCCCCCCCCCCCCAGATTTAGTGTTCATTTCTTCATCTATCTATATACTGTATATATCCTATCCTCTGTCATCCACTCTTTCTTTCTTTCTTTCTCTCTCTCTCTCTTTCTTTCTTTCTTTTCCTCTTTCTCTTTCTTTTTTTCTTTTTTCTTCTTTCTTTCTTTCTTTCTTTCTTTCTTTCTTCTCTCTCTCTCTCTCTTTCTTTCTCCCCCCTTTCCCCCTTTCTTTCTTTCTTTCTTTTTTCTTTCTTACTTTCTTTCCCTCTTTCTTTTTTTTCTTTCTTTCTTTTTTCTTTTTTCTTTCTTTCTCTTCTCTCTTCTCTTTCTTTCTCTCTTTCTTTCTTTCTTTTCCTCTTTCTTTCTTTCTTTCTTTCTTTCTTTCCCTCTTTCTTTCTTTCCCTCTTTCTTTCGTTCTTTCTTTCTTTCTTTCTTTCTTTCTCTTTTCTTTCTCTTCTCTCTCTCTCTCTCTTCTTCTTTCTTTCTTTCTTTCTTTCTTTTTTCTTTCTTTCTTTCTTTCTTTCTTTCTTTTCTCTATTTCTTTCTTTTATTCCTTTCTTTTTTCTTTCTCTCTCTCTTTTTTCTTCCTTTCTTTCTTTCCCCTTTCTTTCTTTCTTTCTTTCTTTTTTTTTCTCTCTCTCTCTCTCTCTCTTTCTTTCTTTCTTTTTTTCCCCCTTTCTTTCTTTCTTTCTTTCTTTCTTTTTTTCTTTCTTTCTTTCTTTCTTTCTTTCTTTTTCTTTTTTCTTTCTCCTCTCTCTTTTTCTTTTCTTTCTTTCTTTCTTTCTTTCTTTCTTTCTTTCTTTCTCTATTTCTTTCTTTCTTTCTTTTTTTCTTTTCTCTTTCTTTTCTTTTCTTTCTTTTTTCTTTCTTTCTTTCTTTCTTTCTTTCTTTCTTTCTTTCTTTCTTTCTTTCTTTCTTTCTTTCGCTCCTTCTTTCTTCCTTTCTTTCTCCCTTTCTCTTTCTTTCTTTCTCTCTTTCTTTCTCCCTTCCTTCCTTCCTTCCTTCCTTCCTTCCTTCTTTCTTTCTCTCTCTCTCTCTTTCTTTCTTTCTTTCTTTTTCTTTCTTTCTTTCTCTCTCTCTCTCTCTCTCTTTATTTCATCCATCGTATGTCTATTCTATACTCTATCATTTATTCATCCAATCCATCCATCTATATGGCCAATCCAAAAATGTTTTTTCTATCTATTATCTATCTTATCTATCTATCTATCAATTATCTATTATCTATTATCTATTCTATTATCTATCTATCTATCTATCTATCTATCTATTAATATCTATCTATCTATCTATCTATTATCTATCTATCTATCTATCTATCTATCTATCTATCTATCTATTATATCTATCTATCTATCTATCTATTATCTATCTATCTATCTATCTATCTATCTATCTATCTATCTATCTATCTATCTATCTATCTATCTATCTATCTATCTATCTATTCTATTCTTATCTATCTATCTATCTATTATCTATTATCTATTATCTATCTATCTATCTATCTATTATCTATCTATCTATTATTATCTATCTATCTATCTATTATTATTATTTCTATCTATTATCTATTTTATTATTATCTATCTTCTATTTATCTATCTATCTATCTATTATTATCTATCTATTATCTATTATTATCTATTATCTATTTTTATCTATTATCTATTATCTTTCTATCTATCTTTATTTATTATTATTATCTATCTATCTATCTATCTATTATCTATATTTATTATATTATCTATTTTTTATTATTATCTATCTATTATTATCTATCTATCTATTATTATTATTATCTATCTATTATATTATAATTATCTATTTTTATCTATTATCTATCTATTTATCTATCTATTATTATCTATCTAATTTTTTTTATTTTATTATCTATTAATCTTATCTATATATTATTTCTATCTATTATTTTATCTATCTATCTATCTATCTATTATCTATTATCTATCTATCTATTATCTATCTATCTATCTATCTATCTATCTATCTATCTATCTATCTATCTATTATCTATTATCTATCTATCTATTCTATCTATCTATCTATCTATTATTATCTATCTATTATCTATCTTTTATCTATCTATCTATCTATTATTAATTTATCTTATCTATCTATTATCTATTTTTATATTATTTTCTATTATCTATCTATTATCTATCTATCTATATATCTATCTATCTATTATCTATCTATCTATCTATTCTATCTATCTATCTATATCTATCTATCATCTATCTATCTATTTCTATCTATTTTATCTATCTATTATCTATCTATAATCTATCTATCTATCTATCTATCTATTTTTGTTTCTCTCCCCTCCCCCTCCTATCACCTCCATCTCTCTCTCTTTATAAATTATTATGCTCGGTATATGTATTAAGAGTTGGTGATATGGGCCCCGGGCTTTTTGACGTGGGTTCCCTGGGCTTTTTTCTCCTGTTTCGGGGGGATTTGATGGTTGTGTTTGATTAATAAAACAGGACTTCAGAATATTAAATTTTAAAACTGGCAGCCGGTAGGAATTCACCCCATCCTCAGCCTCCAGTCCAAGCCGACTACAGCCGGGGGGAGAGCAGCAGCTGGTCCGGGGAGGCGGCGAGACGGCCCCGGCCCCACAGACTGCCAGAAATCAATTAGTCACTGCGAGACGCCACACTGCGCAGCCCCGCCGCAGTCCATGTTGCGCTCCCCTCCAACACATAGCGGCTCCGATATTAAAGTAGATGTGATACCCAACTGGATGACATGAGGTTGGCTCTGTGTATCATAAAAAAATTGCCATTTTATTTATTAAAATTCTTTTTTTCACCTTTTGTTACATCTCATTGCTGCGGATTTTTGCAGCACTCTTTGTAGCCACTTCCTGTCTACACGCTCTCTAGCGATAGCTGCATGGCATTTCTTAGGACGGGTTTCCTAATGGTGACAACATTGGGCATTGTCTGTGTAATTAAGTGGCTGATTTATGGTCTCCATCAGGAACCTGTGTGACAACACAGAGAAAACAATTGGGAATCAGCAGAATGTATTGTCACCTGATAACAGCTAGCGCCTTCACAAGGATCTTCATGGCAGGTTCACCAGGGATTATTTTAATAAAGAGTGCTGCAAGGGCACAGTGCTGTCTTATAGTAAGCCAGCGTACATCATATTTAGATATGTTAATGTAATGTACTACTACTAATAATTATTATATTTTGTTGTTATTTTTATTATTATAAAATGTAATTAATATAATATAATAATATTATATTCTAATATAATACTACTACTATTACTAATAGTAATAATAATAATAAAAAAAAAATTAATTAATAAATAAATATTAATAATAATTAATAATAATAATAATAATAATATTTTTATTATTATTATTTTTATTATTATTATTGTTGTAATATAATGCAATAAATAATATGAAAATATATATTATTATAATATATTACTTTTTATTTACTACTACTACTCCTACTAATACTAAATATTAATATTAATAATACTAATTATTATTATTATTAATAGCAATAATAGTAATAATATTGTTAATATTATTATTATTATTATATCATGTTTTGATTGTAATAAATAAAATGCAATTAATTTAAATTAAATATTATAATATACTACTACTACCACTAATAATAATAATAATAATCATAATAAGGAAAACAATAATATAATTTGTATTATTTATTGTTATATCATATTCTTATTACAGCAATAAAAAAGGCAATTACTATATAATATATTAAATATATATTTACTACTAATATTATTATTATTAATAATAAATAAAAAAAATTATTTATTATTATAACTAAGAATAATAATAATAATAATAATAATAATAATATAATATTATTTATTATATTATACACTAAAATAAAATAAATAATCAAAAATAAATTATGATTATTATATTATATTGTTAAAAAAATTGTAATAAAAAGCAATTAAAATGTAATATAACATACTACTACTACTACCCATAAATTTTATTATTTTTATTAATATTATTCATAATGTTATTATTCTTATAAAATGTAATTAATATTATTATTATAATATATATATTTTACTAATAATAAAAAACAATTATTATTAAATACTATTATACATAAAATAATAATATAATATTATAATTAATAGAATTTCAATGTTGCAAAACAGAGATGAGTTCATGGGGAAGAAATTGAAAGCACTGCTGCCCCAGAATGAA